CAGCACGGATTAGAACAAGGTCATGGACTGGTCCTCAGCAGGCCTTCAAAAATGCTGCTCGTTACTGACTTATCCCAGGATCCAAGAACCTAAGGATTCTTCACTTGAGGCCCAGTTGAGAGCCCCCCCCACCCCCACGCCCGGGGCTTCAGGAACTCCTGCAGCTGCCAGAAATTATGTACATAATGGTCATAGCTTTTTACAAACTCTGTGACTCTGTGATTTGCCCCAGAAGTTAAGAATCACTAATGACTCCAGGGACACCCGGGTGGCTCAGTTGGTTGAGCGTCCAACTTCAGCTCAGGTCATGATCTCACTGTTCGTGGATTCGAGCCCCTCATCAGGCTCTGTGCTGATAGCTCAGAGCCTGGAGCCTGCTTCAGATTTTGTGTCTCCCTCTCTCTCTGCCCTTTCCCCCACTCACACTCTGTCTCTGTCTCTGTCTCTCTCTCTCTCTGCCTCAAAAATGAATAAACATTTAAAAAATGTTGGGGCACCTGGGTGGCACAGTCGGTTAAGCGTCCGACTTCAGCCAGGTCACGATCTCGCGGTCCGTGAGTTCGAGCCCCGCGTCAGGCTCTGGGCTGATGGCTCAGAGCCTGGAGCCTGTTTCCGATTCTGTGTCTCCCTCTCTCTCTGCCCCTCCCCCGTTCATGCTCTCTCTCTGTCCCCAAAATAAATAAACGTTGAAAAAAAAATAAATAAAAATAAAAAATGTAAAAAAAATCATTATAGTTACTCCAATTTTAGCATATGTGCTGCCCAAGCAAGCCCTAGAGTCACTAACCACTCCAATTTGCTTTCTTTTTAAGTTTACTTATTAATTTTGAGAGAGAGAGGGTGCGTGTGAGCGGGGGAGGGGCAGAGAGAGAGAGGGAGAGAGAGAATCCCAAGCAGGCTCCGCACTGTCAGCACAGAGTCCACCTCGGGGCTCAAAGTCACAAATCATGAGATCGAGAGTTGAAATCAAGAGTCGGACGTTTAACCGACTGAGCCACCCGGGTGCCCCTCCAGCTTACTTTCTTATCAGGAAGAAATGGGCCCAGAGAAGGAAGGGGATTTGCCCAAGGCCACCGAGCGAGTAAGTGGGAAAGCCAGGACCGGCAACCCCAGGCCACCATCCTTCTGGAGGTAGGAGGGATGAGAGAGAGAAGGGACAGGTTCTGAGAAGCAAACGGCCGCCCGGGGTATAGCGGGATGCTCCATCCGCACCGCTGGGACCAGGGACCCACCTACATTTCCCTGGAGCCCTGGGCAGGTGCTGGCCTCAAGCCTCCTCTCCACAGAGAATGGGAACTTCTGTGGGTTTTATCTCTGTTTTAAGATCCTGGTCATCCCACAGGGGGCTCTGGGGGTAAAACCATGCTGCAGAGCTGTCCCACTTGGACTAAAGGAGTGAACCATTTTGCCGGCCTCATTCCAGCCCAATCCATCGGTCTTTGGGCGCGAGCTGACCCCTGGGGAGAGGCAAAGCCTCGGGCCAAGTATTGCTCAGTTCACGACTTCCTCCACTTCTTTGAGTGCCACAGAGCCTGTCAACCCTTCCCTACTTGTCTGTCCCCTGTAGTCCCAGCTGGTCTGTCCTCCACTCCAGCCAGAACAGTATTCAGAATACAAATCCACTGTACTTGGAATAAAAGCCAAAACTCCTTGCTTCCCAGCCTCATCTCTTCACCTTGCCCCTACCAACCTGGCCTCCGTGATCCCTGCTGTCCCTAGGGCCCTTAGCCATTCAGTTCATTGTTCTGGTACGTTCTTCCCTCTTTTTACTTATTAACTCATCCACCGGCTCCCAGCCCAGGGGTCCCTTCCTGTCATCTCAACCAGTCTAGTTCAATGACCCGGATGGTAATCAGACTTGGACCCTTACTGGGGCTGAGTATTTTACTAATGTTTGTCCCACCACTAACTGTGAGCCCCTCGAGGGCAGGAACTGTGTTTTCCTCTTCCCACCACAGTATCCAGCGGATAGCACAATAGTAGAGGACACTGGCTGAGAGTCTGGGTTCTGTCTGGATGCACCGGAAGCCAAACTGCTCCATAAAAGTGACTGAATAAATGAATGTCAGGTTAGTCCCCCCCCCCAGCAGTCCCCGACTTCACCTGAGGTAAGGGAGGCAAAACTAGGGAAACTCCAGAACAGGAACCTGGAGACATCTACATTCCCTCTGGGAAGCAGATGGACCATTAAGGGATTAAGTGAGCTATTGTGTGTCCATGGCCTGGGGCCATCTGGGAAAGGATTATTCCAGAGTTGGAAGTGGAGCCATAGTAGAGGGAGGGCCTCGGGGCGGGAGAGCACTGCCAAGGGGTAGAAGTTGTTCACCTGGGAAGCTCTCCTAACCCCAATCTTTCTCCCCGGGGGAAACTAGGGCTTTGGAAAGTAAGACAATGAAGTAATTGAGAATTCCGACCTAGGATGTGGCTGATGGACATTGAACAATCTACTTAACCTCTCTGAGCCTTGCTCACCTCATCTGAGACCCTTGAGATGGTATCTATTACAAGGAGACTGGTTAAGAAAGTCACGGTAGGGCGCCTGGGAGGCTCAGTCGGTTGAGGGTCAGACTTCGGCTCAGGTCACGATCTCACTGTCGCTGACTTCGAGCCCCGAGTTGGACTCAGTACTGTCAGTGCAGAGCCAGCTTCCCTTAGGATCCTCTGTCTCCCTTTCTCCACCCCTCCCCCACTAGTACCCGCTCACCTGCGCACGCGTGCATGCACACGGGACGGGGATCTCTCTCAAAAGTAAATAAACATTTAAAAAAAAAGTTAGTCGTGGTATACCCATTCTGCAATGGTTTGGCCCAAGGAATTAAATGTGCTGGTTCAAGACGCAGCCAGCCTGGCCTGACCATTTATTATCTGTGTGACTGTGGGCAAATTAATAAATCTGTCTGAGCCTCAGTTTTGTAATCTATTAAA